CGAAAATTTCGAAATGAGCCACTATTATATTAGTGAAAAAGAAAAATCCAAAATTTTATTTTACATTGATGTATCCCCTTGTTTACTATACTTTTAATCATTATCCACACAAACATGTATCCACACAAACAAACACATATACATTATTTCTTTCAAATTATAATTTTTTGACATTTATTTATATTTAGATTATGTGGGGGGGGGGGTCTTTTATGTGGGGGATCTGTTATGTAGGGTGGCATTAAAAAGAATATTAAAGGATTTAGGGGAATAAGAGCATAGGAGGGTGAGTTGAGATTAAGGAGTATTTAATTTTAAATAGATAAATACAGAAAATTACATACAAAATAGAAAATTTGTAGTAAACATATTTTATTTTTAGAAGTAATCATGCTTTTATTTCTTTAAAAACAAAACTTTATTTAATCAAATGATGAATGTTTTTATTATTTTTTTTAGAAAGATAATATTATAAATATTTACTTTAAAATTATTTTAGTTTTTTTTAAAATGATGCTATAAAAAATAATAATTATTCAAATTCGTATTTTTAGGATATTTTTAGGTCTTGATATTTTAGTGATGGTCAATAGTATTTTTTATTTAACTTATGACGTGCTGGTTTTTGATCGCCAAATAAAGTTTAGAAAATTTTTGCTTCTTGTTAAGCTCATGGATATATTAAAGCATTGTCCATTTATAAAGGAATATATGGACAAGAGCCATGATTCTCAAGAAAGAGTTAAGAACAGCAATGGCTAAGAGAATACCTCTCCTTTTTGCTTTTCATTAAATAGAAGTCTCGGAATTGCCTAAAAGTACTATTAGGTCGGGTCATAATTAGTGTCGCTTTATTTCGATTAAATTTTTAGGGGTGTTATTTTACAGATATTATTTTTCTTATTAACCATCATAAGGATCTGAATCTACTCTTCATTTTAATACCGGATTTATGTATATATGTGTGTTATTCATAAAGTTATGATTTTTTGAACTTCGCTATCTAAAAATATTTTTTAAATCTACGCCAAATATAAACGCGTCCTAAAGACAAATTGTTTTTAAATTTCTTCATTCTAAATCAGGATTATTTATTCAATTTGTTTTTATTTTTAAAAGTAAATATTTTGATTATTTTTGATAAATAAATCATTTAAATATAACATCATTTTTAAATTCCATCTCAATTGGAGACTATAAATAGCTGCGAAATTTTTTATAAAGTATCACAAATCTAAAAATAATAATTTTATTAATTAAAATAAAAACTTGATTATTTTCCTTGATAAATTTTGATTTCTATTTAAGAAAACTTCTTTAAGTTCGCTCAATCTCAAAAATAATTTTGAGCTTGAATAATTTTTTAAATTTTATTATTTGAAAATTTAATGCATAAGATGCAGATTTTCGCTTAATACTATTTAATAAATATATTATTTTCCGTAAACATATGTGCTTTTATTTTCAATTATCCCGTAGGGACTAATATTAGTGACGGTGTTAATATTAGGGAAATAACGGTAATAAATCCAAAATTAAATTAATAATTTAGACATAAATATAATTATTAAAAATCTACAAATCTGAAAAAATGAACAAATTTCAATTTTTTGGATTTCTTTTTGTTCTAATCAACATGACAATGTTAGTGGCTACTGATGATACAAGCCTCTTCATTGATGAAGCCTGTAAATTTTTTTGTCAACCATGCTTAGTGGATATCAAGGCTATTTGTCCAAATAATATTATTCAAGTGTCGGATCTGCTTGGTTTATGTGTAAAATTGGGACACCCTTGCGCGGTGTAAGAGCTTTAATGTAGCATTAAATTATATGTACATACTTATAATTAATTTTTTAGACACAAATAATTTTGTGAGAAGAGAAGCGCAAATCAAAGTTAACATGTTAACAAAAGAGAAAGTTTAATGAGATTTAAAAAATAAAATATTGCAATATTAATGTAAAATAATTATCGATAAATATATACCTATTTATAACTTGTTTTTTTGTAACTTCACATAATACACTAAAAACCTCAAAATTTAAAATATTTACATTATACATACCGTATTTCCTCTATTAGAATGCCATGGCACTCGTACTAGGCATTTGTCCTAAAAATTATTGTTACATTCCTATTTACTTAAAAAAATACCCATAATTGCTAAAGGCAAATTTTGAACTGCTGCTGCACGAATTTGAGCAGGTTTTTCCATTGTTGAGGCGCCTCTTTGTCAAATCACGCTCATCACCTCAAAAATGGAATTAAAGAAAAATTTTTATAATTAAAATCTACCTTTTGAGCACGAACTCTAGCTGGATCACCTAATCCTGAGCAACTATGTTCGGTAATCATTTTTAGAAAACTACGCTCTTCATCAGCTGTTGTGTGTATGCTTCCAGCACATGCTGTTGTTCTACGCGTGTCGCAGCGCCAAAAAATTTTCTCACCATCAGCACTCGGTTTATCCATTTCATAAATATACCCGTCATGTGAGAATTTTTCTCTGTTTTGCTTCGATAAAATTCCGCTGTACATTATAGATTCTGTTAATAAAGGTTACAAATAATTCAGAATGTTTTACAAAACCGTTATTGATTTTTAATTTCGGCGGTACATTGGGCGGCGGTACATTGGCCTGCTCCCCGAGAATTGGATCATGAAAAATCTCGATGATAACGATTATCGAGATTTTTCAAGATTGAGATCGTTATGATTTAAAAAAGGTTGTAGAAATTGCATAAATCTTTAATTGTCCTTTTTTAATTTTATTTTACTTTTTTTACATATGTATGTCGAAATTAAGTATAATTATTTTCCTGTTTACATCTATGTTGTGCACTTTTGTTTCCGTCTTGCCCTTTGATTAAAGCACAAGATTTAAAAATTTATCCATGATTTCAAAATTATTTTTATTTATTGTGTCGGAAATAACCTTATCAAATAAATTAAGAAATAAATAAATTATTAAATGAATTCCTATGCTTTTCCTTTGATTTATTATAAAATTTTATAATTTTATAAGAATATTTAATTTATTTAATAATTCTTAAAATAAAGTAATGTTTTTGTTTAATTAATTTTAGGAGATTTTAATCTCATTAAAGGAATAAACTTCAAAAACAATTAACGGATTTCCCAACTGTCAACATCTAATTCAGAGTTGCGTCGTAATTACGAATTACGATTACGAATTACGAATTACGGTGTTTTTTCAGTTACGAATTACGAATTACGATTACGAAAAAATTTTTTAAATTAGGAATTACGATTACGAAAATATAGGGAAAAATTACGAATTACGAAAATAATTTTGCCATTAAATTTTATAATGAGACGGGGAAGAAATATTTGAAATATTTATATTTTTTCTCTGAGTTGCTTTTGTTTATCGGTGGTTGAGTGGGTTAAAAGTCAAGCTTCACTTATTTGATATTTTGTTAGGTTTGGTTCGAATCCATGTGTGAGAAATAATATTTAGACAATTCATTTTTTCAAAAATAAATTTTTTTAAACTTTGATTTTGTTTTTAGGCTTGTAAATTTACATTTTTAATATCTTATAATTGAAAAAAAACTTAAAAATTTTTAATTTAGTCATGAATTTTTTAAAAAATTTTCGCCTGCGGCGCTGAAAATATAAGAGTGTTGGCTCGGGATTAAGTGAGAGTGATTTGACATGATATCAAACTTAATCTGGGATCAGAGAAATAAGAGGATTTGGAGAAATAAGAGAAATAAGAGGATTTGGAGAGATTAATGGGAGAAGCAACAATTATTAATAGATATTTGATTTTTAAAATTAATTTAAATATTTTTGAAAAATTACGAATTACGATTACGAATTACGAATTACGGCATTTTTTCAGTTACGAATTACGATTACGAAAAATTTTTTTAAATTACGAATTACGAATTACGATTACGAAAATTTTTTTTAAATTACGAATTACGAGTTACGATTACGAAAAAAAATTTTCAATTACGACGCAACTCTGATCTAATTGGCAAATAAATAAAATTAATTATGAGCACTTTAGAAAGAGCATAAATAGTATAAAATAGTATGAGAAAGATTAACTTTTTTTTGTTTATACAGACATAAATTGTGTTTAATTTTATACGAATTATACGATTCATAAAAAAAAATGAATAAACATTTAGTGGATGATTTTAAATCTTTATTTTAAATAAAAGCTGTTTATATTTATTTTTTATTTTATTACTTATTTAATATTACTAGGGAACGGATTTATATGGATTTCCATATTTTTTTCCTGGCCTAGTTGGGTCTTGAAACGTCCAAAAAACATAGTTTTAGCATATGTTGATAAGACCGATAATGAGTTATCAATCCATATTTTCCATATTTTAACGTTTGGTCCATATTTTCCATATTTCGTCCATATTTTGTCATTTTTTGTAAAATTTTGCCAAAAATTGGTCAAAATTTTCAAATTTATGAAATTTTTTTGGGCAAAAAGAAATTTTTATGGAAAAATTAAAAAAAAATTTTTTTGACAAAAATTTTTGAAAAAATTTTCGAATCAAATATTATCTTTTTAGAAGCAAAATAATCATCATGAATTGATTAATTTGTGATATTATGCATCAAAATTAACTTAATTAACATTTTGCTACTTTAAAATGCAAATTTTGCGTTAAAAATTTTCAGTTTTCGGCGCATATTTGATCCATATTATGGATTTTAATCCATATTTCAGTCCATATTTTAAGATTTTTAGTCCATATTATATGTCCATATTTTTCGATTAATAGTCCATATAAATCCGTTCCCTAAATATTACAAACAATATAGCCAAACATAATCACATATTTTTGCGATTATAAATTAAAAGTTTTGTTTATTTTTATTAATATTATCAGGAAAAGGGGTCTAACAGAAAAGTTCTGATTAGAGCCGGACTGGAGTGTTCTAATTTTAAAAATCACATCAGAATATTTATTAATATTTAATAAAATTTATAAATTTTTAAAATGAAAATTCCCAATATTATTATTGTTTTTATTTTAATATATAACACAATATTATGGATTTATATTACTCCAATGGAAGGTCCATCGACGAGTAAAAAACGAAAAATTAATGAAATTTCATCTTCTAAAAAACAGTCGGAGAATGCTTTCAACATTAAACTTACAAAGATAAAAGACAAAAATAATTGTAATTATCAGATAACTAAAGTTATTAAACCAACAATTAAAATTCAAAATGAATTAATTAATTATTATAAAGCAAAAAATAAAAAATTCGAAAAAGCATGGCTTCAATCAAAACAGGGAAAGGAAACGTTAATAACTGATCGGATTGACAATGACTTGAAAGTATGGATTTTGTTGTGTAGTGGTATCGCTATAGTATAAAAGCCAGTGAAAGCGTCAGACTAGTGGGGTCATACTAGCGGGGCTAGTCAATGATCTCCTTCGTCTGTTCCAACTCTTCCATCCCTTCGCCTACACATTGTATATTTCTACACGAGATAAACTGCTATTCTAGTGCACGTCAACATTACTTAAATCTCAGACACCTCCGGTTGTAACAGATTTATACTATAAAACTAGTCATTATATAGTGAGACCTATACGAAACAATACAGCAAATATAGGAGAATAAATATCGAAGGCTTTTAGCGAACCTATCACAGAATAGAAAATTATTTGAAAGCTGGTTTTATTCATAACCTTAATGCATTATAGACATTTCAGAAGATATCCTTTATAAATATCATTTATAATTTTATCCTTTATAAATTATTTTTGTTTAAGATGGAATATATTCGAGGATTGCTTGTTTTATACAAATATGGAGAAATCGCGATAAATAGAATAGCTAATGGAAAGAATTTTTTCAGAATATTAATGGCTATATATGGAATTTGCTTATATGAAAGTTACATTGAGCCAAAAAAGAAGAGGTATTTTTTGGTTTAAAATAATGGGTAATCGTGACACTCCCCAACACTCTTTTTTATTCCTTAATACACATGTAAATAATCGAGAGATTTTTTACATAAATAGAAACAGTAAGCACTCCTCTGGAGGTCGATCGAAAAAAGAATTTGTTAACAACATCTAATATTGTTATCAACGAGGCAACTATTAAGTCTCGATACAATTTATCCAATAACTCTTTCAAAAGATAATGTCAGAGCAGGGTGACCCTTTCCAAACTACCAAAATAGGGCGCAGCCACTCAAAAATATTGCAAAAATAGGGCGAAATTGGTCAAAAATATGGCAAAAAATAGGGCATGATTTTAACAACTTAAAAATTAACTTATTTCAGATAAAAAGCAATATCCTGCATATTTTCACTAGTTTTAAATAAATTGAGCAATAGTGATCAGTATTGATTCTAAACAATTAAAATGGGCAAAAATTTTTTCAAAAAAATTTTTCGAAAAATTTTTTGGGTAAAATTTTTACAAACATATTTAGGGGTTTTTTAGTGCATATACTATATGTGCATATTTGGCGTTTTTCGTGCATATTTTGGACCACCCTAATCATAAACAGTCGGTATTCATTTTTCAGCGCCGCAAGAAAAATTTTTGAAATTTTGGCTGGTCAATAAGCCAGATTTCTTCCTTTTCTTGCGCCGCAGGCGAAAATTTTGAGAATTTTGGAAGACCAGTCAGCAGATTTCTTCCTTTTTCCTGCGCCTCACACGAAAATTTTTGAAAATTATGGGAGTCAACGGTCAGATTTCTTCCTTTTTCTATCAGTTTCGGTACGAAATGCTAAGAATCGTAAACATTTTTCAAAATAGTAAAAATAGGGCAAAAATATGGCAAATGAAAAAATAGGGAAGAAATAGGACGAAAAGGTCAAAAATAGGGCAAATGCCCTATAAATAGGGTAAAAGGGTCACCCTGTGTCAGAGCTTTAGTGAAGATTATCAGTTTATTAAACGAATAATGTCACGAATGATGGAAATATCATGTTGAGCTGTCTAAAATGACCTCTCTGTTAAGACTACTCAATATAAAGCTGGACTGCTTTAAGTTTCTTAAATTTTAATATTTTAGTGGTTCAAGTGAGAGAGAAGATTTTGAAAAATTAAAAATCCGAATAGATAAAGGTCTAAAAGAAATCATAATTGAAGGAGAAGAAAGCCAACATGGAGTAGAAACGCTGATAATAAATGGAGAATTAAAAACAATTGTAATTAATAAAGAATTGGAAGAAAATCGAGTTATTGTAGTAAATAAAGAAGCTATTGATCTAATTGAATTTTATTTTAAAAAGTCGGGAAAGGAAATAGTCAAAAAGAAATGTGTTCATAATTTTGATTTGAATGAATTGCCAAAAGAAGATAAAGAAGCTAAAGGAATTGTTGATTGACTGTTAAACTGATAAAAAAATTTTAATTATTCCTTTTAAAGGACCAATTCACTTTCTTTAAATTCCACCAAGTATTTATAAATTTTTTCCTTTTATTTAATCTACTGGTAATCATTGTATAATAGTTTCGAGATTATGGTCAGTTAGAGATTATTTTGTGTTTATTTTTTATAAAAAATTAACTTTAAATTATTATTAGATATTGCTTTTAATTGTATTTTTAAAAATATTCTTGTTTTGTTGTAGAAGACTTTCATTCGGATCGTGTTGAATTCTGTTTCTAAGGAAAGGGTTCGAGTCGGGCCACCCAAAAATTTACCAGAACATCACAATTCCATGCGAAAATTTTGAGAATTTTGGAACAGCATTAGGTCAAATTTCTCGCTTAATAGAAAATTTTTCAATTATAATTGTCGGGTACCGGATTTTGTAAAATCTATGACACTCCTAATCCCAAGTCAGGCCAAATCTGCGGCCCGAAACAAACATAAATATAATCTTCTCTATAGAGAATCTGAATCGGTATGAAAAAAGATCCTTTTAATCTTATTAAAAACAATTTTCTGTAAATTTTAGTTATTGTTACTTTAAAGATTTATCGCGAATTAAAGCAAATTACATGTTTATCAGAAGATGTTTAAAATAAAAATAAATGAATATTTAAATATAATATGGTGAATGTGTGGTTGAAGATGGAAGGTTTTCGATATTTTTACATGTCGCTTTCAAGTAATCGGGTGATCTGAGACGGATTCATTACAAATTATAATCACTATTAATTAGTTTCTAAAGTTTGAAGATTTTCAGAGGGAATCTATTCAACACAAAATAAAGGGGTTGTGTTGCGGTTTTGTGTATTTTTTAAATAAATGCTATGAACCCGTCCTGATCTGCACCATTACCAAATAATAATGAATTTTACAAGGGTTTTTAATTTACATTTCATACAAATTTTTTCATAAAATCTTTCTTTTTTCATTCATTTTCCTTGATTAGTTTGATCCCCAATTCAAAGCATATTTTTCTCTTTTTTGCTTATCTTTCGCCTCTTTTCCCGTAGTATTCGCCCATTCCTTAGCATCAGCTTTAATTTATAAAATTAGTGATTATATTCGGTTTTAAAATTGTTTTAAAATACCTAATTTATTTAGAGGAAAAGGGATATGTAATCATTGATAGAGTAAAGCGGTTGGACCCGTTACCCAGCCAGTTGCTGTGGAGTTGATGTTATTAGCAGAGTCGCGCATGTTGCAATCATAAGTGAACTACGCAGAATATAGGAAAAGGTGAAACGCACACAGTGTGGGAATAAAAAGAGATCTCTTCTTTATAGAAATCTTCTTATCTTGTCTAAAACTAGGGTTAATTTGAAAATAATGTAGATTATCACTTTTCCCCGGTTTTTCAAGAAAAGAACTCCGGATCCAAACCTTCGTCTGCCACCAGAACTTTAGTAAAAGCTTTATCGTGGATGATTTTACTCGCGTTTCAAAATTGAATCATTAAAGATCAAACCCGTATCTTAACTAGAGATCGGAATTTTGAAAAAACTGAGTCCGGGAACCGGGTTCTGGGAGTTGACCGGGAGGATTCGGAGCGGGAAAATCAGGAATTACCGTTCCTGGTTTCATACCAAAAAACCGGGAAATGGGTCCGGGTCCCGGACCCATTTCGATCTCTAAATCTTAACATATCAGACTCGTAGATCTAAACCCCGGCCATGTTTCTGTAGAAATACATAGACTCCAAATAATAAATATTTAAAAATAGGAATTTTGCATACCCAATTCCTTTGCTCTAGCCTCTTTATTAGTGTAATTTCCTAGATGCTTTACTTCATTATCAGGACAAACACAACACTCAACAAAAATTAAAGTGAAAATAACAAAAATAATAAACATTTTTGACATTTTTAGTTGTTTGTTAGAGGGAAGGGTTAGTTTTTCTAATTGAGTTTGAAGGAAATTAATGACTTACTCTTCACTGAATTTCTTCCCCTTTTATTTAAACTGACACTATTGTAAGATTCCTTGTGATAAGGAAGAGGGACGGAGTCAATAATAGACTATCATATGCTTTGTCTATTGTCTGAATTTCTTTATTGTCTATTTGTCTTTGGCTCTAGTTTAGGGCATGCGTCCCACAAGCTTTTAAGCGTCCCAAAATTATTATGAGTCCCATGAGAGAGACGCATTCATGGGACGCTTAAAGGCTCATGGGACGCATGCCCTAAACTAGAGCCCTGTCTTTGGCTTCATTCTTATGACATTTAATTCTTCCCATTGTATCAATAATTTTTAAATTAGAATTGTAGTTTGTAAATTAAAATTTAATTCTTATTTTAAAATTAAAAATCAATAATAATATTCAATTAAAATCCTTAATTTAATTCCTCTTTTCTAAATTAAAACTTTCAAAATTAAATTTAATTAATATTTTTATATTTGTTTAAGTTTAAACAAACACAATTAAAAACAATTGTTTAATTGCTCTTTGAACTTTTTAATTTTATCCTCCGAATCTCTGATTTCCCCTTTAAATCAATGATATCCGCATAAAAATTTTCTTCCTTCCCCAAAATTTGCTCATAGATTTAAATTTTATTAAACTTTTTTGGACTTATTCACTTCCACCCTCCCCCTTTCAATTTTTTCGTAAATATGGTACAAATGTTCAGTCAGTCATAGATTATATAACTCGTCTCTAGCTGTGTTGAATGGCACCAAAATCAATTCCCAATCCAAACTTAGGGTCGAAATACGGGCTCCCAAAAATTGAAAAACACCAGGGAACAAGCTAATTTCTGATCAAAAAATTTAATTATACAACTTTTAGCTCATTCGAAAGATTTTGTTGACTGACTGACCATTTTGTACATGTTTACCAAAAAAAGTTGACTGGGGGTCTTTTACCCTTTTATTATTTTCCAAAATAAAATATAATTTAAACATTCTACTCTCTCCTTACTATCTATTTATTTTAATCTGTGAATAATTAGAAAAGCAAAAATTACTTTTCCACTTATTATTTTTTATTTAGGAGACAAATAAATTAAATATTAATTTTCATTTTGAAGGACAAAAATTTATTTTCCCTTTTTTCTGTTTATTTAGATCAATATTCTTTATAAAATGTCTTCTTCCAGCCAATTTAACCCAAAAAATTTGTTATTAAAATCGACAGCTTCAATAATTCAAAATATTGGATTTTCCACTACAAAGACAACTCCTTTAAATATTTTGAATAATTTGTTGATTATTTATTTTGAACGATTATGTAATAAATGGAAATTGTTTATGGAAGAATGTTAGGGAATTTTTTTTGAAAATTAAATTATTTTTGATAGGAAGTGGCCTTTCCCCATTTTATGATTTTTTACCTCCAAAAATAGAGCTTACTCCCCTCTATGGTTTTTCGATTTTCCGGGGACTTCGGGGGTTTTTTCGGGGCTTTTCGATATCGGTTGTCAGGCATTTCCGTGAGTGGTAATTTGTAGGGTTTCACTGGAACTTCCGGTTCATAGAAGAATTGTTTATGGAAGAATGTTGGGGATTTTTTTTGAAAATTAAAAATTATTTTTAGATAGGACGCGTCCTTTCCCCATTTTTTGATTTTTCACCCCAAAAATGTGCTTTCTCCCTCCTATGGTTTTTCGATTTTCGAGGACTTCGGGGGTTTTCGGGGCTTTTCGATATCTCGGTCCACAGGCACTTCCGTGAATAGAGAGTGGTAATTTATAGGGTTTCACCGTAACTTCCGGTTCCAGTTCCGGAAAGTTCCGGCGTTTTTTTGGTGCCGCTTCATTTAACTGGAACTCTAAATGGATACGGTTCCGGGTCCGGCCAAAATTTCGGTTCCGGTGCGACCCTAGTAATTTGGCGACTTTATTTTGAACAATTATTCCCTTTCTCACCCTTCCCCTTTGTCTACAATTTTTCTGGGAGGCACATAAGTAAAACTTGCCTTTATTCTTAAATTAGACTCTAAATAAAGGGCCCGTTACTTCACATGGGACAAAAATTTTTTTTTCAAATTTTTTAGCAAATGAGGAAACCGACAAATTAGAACTTGCATTATTAGCCTTCCACCAAAATTCTTACTTTGGATGGAACGAATTTAAAGAGTTTTTGGAATCTACAGTATCCTCTGTTAGTGATGTAGAGGTGAGAAAATTCGTGAAAAATTACTGTAGAAAATTAAAAATTGGGGCAGATAGGGTCCAAAAAATTTTTAAAAATTTAAAAAAAAAATTTTCCAGCCGTTGCCCTATTTTCCTGTAAAACTTCCAGAGGAGAATTGTGACGGTAGCAAAATTATTTTAAATGAAACAACACTTATTGGTACAACTGTGGCACAGACAAACAAGTAAAATGGAAGGAAAAATTTAAAAAAAATTTTTAAAAATTTCAGTGATTTATTCCCCTCATATTTTGGTTTGACTGCTAAAGACTTGCAAATGGAGAATTTGCTAGCTGACAGTCGTTATGTTAATAGGAAAAGTATGCGTGAATCTTTGGATAGTTTGGCTTCTCCCGTTGTGAGTGTTTCTTTTAGAAATAAAATTATTTGGGGGTATTTGAGTCTAGACAGATTGGCTTAGAATGAAATTAAAAATTTAAATAATTTTGTTTAATTCAATACTAGTGGGGATTAAATTTGCTAGAAAATAAATTAAACTGAAAATTTTATAGATCGACAAAGATTATTTGTGTTAAAGTTCAAAATTTTCAATATGAAAAAAATTAAAAAAAATGGTAAATTCAGGACGTGACATATGTCATAGGATTCGTCTCGACGGGATGAGTCGAACGGTACCAATCCTTACTTCAGGAATGATTCTGGACCGAGTTATAGGTCTTGAACATTGAAAAACTAGGGGGAGTAAGCTCGATTTTGTTGTAAAAAATACGAATATGCAAATAATAGCTCATTCGAAAGAGCTCCTCGAGCTGAAGAAAAATATGAGAGTTCATGATATTAAAATAATAACAAAACTTTATTGTTTAAGCTGGCTTTTTGCAACCCTGTTAGACTTCGACCAAATTTAAGTAAGCGAACAGCAACAACTTCAAAAGCTTCTACATCATCTGAACAACTAGATAATTCAAAATCTGAGCAATTAAATGTGGAAGGAACTTCTACCAAAAATAATCAAATTAATTATAAGGCTGTCCACAGTGTAACGGTACGAACCCTTAAACCAAAAATTTAAAACTTCTTTTTTTTTTGAGATTTTTCGTCCTCAAATAAATTTTTGGGTATTATGGTAGTTTTATTAAGACTCAACATTGGGAGAATTTCCATTTAATTTACGTTTATAAAATCTTTTGAAGAAAGCATTTATAGAGGTGCACCCGATGTATCGCGAGCCCAGTGTACCGCCGAACTATAACTTTGTTCGAAATTGTCTAATCCGTGCCGCCCTTGTATGGTTCGATGCCTTTTGATCGAAATTGTCTAATCGAAATTGTCTTATCGAAATTGTCTAATTGAATCAAACCATACCAGGGCGCCATGGATTCGACAATTTTGGACAAAATTATAGCTCGCCGGCACTGTGGGCTCGCGGTACACTGGCCTGCTCCCCATTTATAGATTCGTTAAAACTTTAAATGAGGTAATAACATTGCTATGGCTAAAAATGCTATTCATTCTATTAATTAAATATAGAAAAACTAAAAAATATAGGCGCACAGACCAATGACAGACTAAATAAAAATCTAAAAAAATTGCTTTATCTGGAATACCTAAAAATTTATAAATTCAGGGCCTTAAAATGCGTTTATTAAAGAATATGGAGAACACACCTCCAGGCTTTTTTTCTCATAAGAATGATAAAGAATAAATAAAAATATTTTTTAATGTTTTACGAATATATTTTTAATTTTTGTGTTTAAATAAATATTTACTTTTTCTTCATTATTAAATTAAAATAAGTTAAAAAATTAAATACTCTAAATTAAAAAACGACTCATACACAATAACAGAAAAAACATTTCTGATTGGGGCTCGAGCTCGTTTCCGGGCTATTTTCAGACATAACCAGTCCCCAGCCTTAAGGAGTGTTTTTATGTTATCGAGTATTACCGTATATGTTTATTAATTACTTTCTCAAACAATTACCCCCCGCTCTATTAATTACTCCCTCCAGCGAGAGATCGAAACAATAATTACCCAGGTTAATTATTAGAGCATATACGATATTTGTTTTTAATTTAAAGTATTTTCTAATAATTTTGGATTTGGCCAACGGAGGAGCCGTTCCGGGGTTTTCGCCGAAGACGGGCCAGAAAAGCCCGATATCTGTCCCCCCTCTTAATTTTATTCTCCATTTTTTATGAGTTTTAAATTTGATAGTCGTTATTTTCCTCTTGAAATTTCCTAGGCTGATTAATTTAAAAAAATAAATATTTTTTTAAATAAAAGTGCTTATTATTTATTTTTAAAAGTGCATCTTTAATTTTCCCCTCGTGCCAGTCACTCTTTCGTTATTTGTTTTTGAGAAATAAATGTCTGTCGGCATTTACAAAGAATTACCTATTTTGTTTTTCCTTTTTTTGTTATGAAATTATATTTATTTATTATTTAAATTTTTTATAAATACGGCGCAAGAAAAATAATAATTAGAATAGGATTTTTAGGCAAATGCCTGTTTTTTTCCTAGATATGCTTAAAGCTGAAACGTCCAAATTAGGCGTCTTTTAAACTATTTTATCGCTGACTAAAAAAGTTGCCTATTTTAGCCTTTTCAGACGGAATGACTACATATTATTTTTTTTCAGCCTATTTTGCATATTTTTACTAATATTTTTATTTTTTTGAAAAATTTGTTAATTACTATTGAGGTTTATAGAAAATATTTTTTATTTTTATTACGGATCATTTAATAGCGTATTTTCTAAAGGATCCCAGAATTTGAGATTTTTGGTTAGGTATTCAGGGAGTTCTGATCAAAAATGTCAAAATTTTCGAAATCATCGAAAATCAAATTTTTTCGCGTATATGTAATGATAATATTTAGATAATATTTAGTTTCCAGAAAACAATTTTGCTTCAGAACTCCCCATAAAAATTTATTGAAAATATTTTCTGAGCGAAAATTTTTACTATTAAACTTTTTTGACAAAATTTAGCCAGTTTTTAGTGTCTATATAGGCGCCCATTTTTAACTTTTTAGTGCCTAAAAATCCTAGCTCTGGTAATAATAAAAAGAAATCTGCGTCGTCATAAAGAGATTTAATTTCAGATTAATATGAAAATTAATAAAAATATTATTATTTATCTTTTACTTGTCATCTCATTGTTATTAAATTTTGTTTTAATGGTTCGACGATCAAAAATTAAAAATCGTCAAAATATGTCGGGATCTAACAAATCCTATTCAATTTATATTAAAAAATTAAAATTATTTGTTGAAAGGGAAAGGGGAAGAAATAATTGTAAAGAAAAAATTGATAAAGATTTAAATCCAAATGAGACAGTTCAGAAACAATTGGTTGAAGATTATGAAACTACAAATGACCAATATGCTAAAGCTTTGAAATTAATTAAAAACAGATCAAAAGCTTGTATTTTTATACTTGATAGAACTAAAGATATTCAACTTAACGTAAAATAATTTTAGAAAATTTTGATTGTTTGTATGGTACCCTGGAAAATACCATAGTGAATGCTTGGTCCCCCATATGGTTTTTGACCATTTCGAGCCCTGTATCTTGGCCCATAGTTACGTCCCAATCGATATTTTGATGTCATTCGACTCAGCACGCCGAACTGAGTCGAATGACATAATATGTCCCAATCCGATTCTGTTTAGTATTCCGAAATTATTCCCAAAAGGAGTATTACTAACAAAGGGAGTATATACATAAATTACTAACTCTTTATTTGATAACTCTTTATTTGATCTCCTACTCAATACTTTTCAATTCTACATATGTTTTAAAATTATTATAGATAGAGTATATTCGAGGAATAATTGCTTTATACAAATATGGCGAAGTGTCGATTAATCGCATCAAGGCCAACAGAGAGTTTATAGAAGTTGTTCTGGCAGTGCATAAAATATGCCTCTACAAAAAGCTTTCTCCTCAAACAAGGTCAAAATTGTTAAAATGCTTTATTAATACCTAAATAAAGTATGTAATTGCATACTTTTTTTTAGTAAAATGGTCGTGCGTGATTTGTAATGCACAAAAGATAGTTTCCGCTTGCTTTGGAAGCGAAAACTTTAAATAACTGTAACTAAACTGTAATTAAAAAATATATTCAGATTTTTGTGTATAATTTGTATTTTTCATGCATATTTTCGTGCATATTTTTATCCATTTTTTAATGCATAAAAATCCTGCCTCTATTCATTTCAATCCACAATTGCATGTAGTTTTTCGGCATAGCCAAATTTTGGCTGAAAATAGAATCAGTTTTCGCCTTTTTAGAGTAACAAAAATAAAAGTAACATGATTTAAATTTAATTAAATACCGAAAAGATCAAAATAAAGGAAAATAAAGGTTCTGATTCAAGATTCAAGGCCAAGAGTCTCGGACATCTCCAATGTAATAATCTTATGTTTATTTGATATCACGACTTTTGCGCCGAGAACATTTGCGCCGCGACTTATGCGCCGCGACTTTTGCGCCGGGCAACTTTTGCGCCGCGACTCTTGCGCCGCGACTTTTGCGCCGGGCGACTTATGCGCCGCGACATTTGCGCCGCCATTGTTTAGAAAATCAGGATCCGAAAAATGACGGATATCCGAAATTTTCAGTTCGGATATCAGATCCGAAGATTTCCAACTATTCGACAACCCTACTAAAGTGAGGTCCGGCTGTAGTTATTGATATATTTTTAATGATAGTGGCGGCGCAAAAGTCGCGGCGCATAAGTCGCGGCGCAAATGTTCTCGGCGCAAAAGTCACGGAACCGTTTATTTAAGCCTTCCTATAAAAAAGAATGTTTTTGATATGCTTAAAAATAGAATAAATAAAAATTTAAATAAAATTGAAGTTAATGAGGAAACTGTTAATAAAGTTCGCAAGATTTTAAAGAGATTACACAGGGAAGCAAATGAAGAAAATCAGAAAGATAGTTCTGAAGAATCGTTCGAAGCTGATTCTGATGATGAAATAGAATTACAGACATTGGAAGAACAGAATAATAACCCTCTTAATTTTCAACCAGTACAAGAAGAGGAAGAAGATGATTATTGGATTAAATGGAATTTGGAAACAATGGAGGAAGTTAAAGACGATAAATTGAAGAAAGATTAATTAACGATTAGATAATTAATGGATTAAATGGGATTTAAAATCAGAGAGGAAACAAATGAATTTTAAATTAAAAAATGATAAAAGATTTTCTTTTAAATTAGTAGTTTTTGTTAAATCACTAAATCAAAAACATTATTGTATTTGGATTTAAATAAAGCATAAAACATTATATCAACATTATTATATTTAAATTATTTATTATTAAAAGGTGACCCCGAACCAGAGTTGGGTGGGTCGGAACATTCCGAGGTGTCGGAAATCGGAACAGCCGGAAATCGGAATTGGCTCAAAATCGGAACTCGGAAATCAAAATTTTTTTCCGGAAATTGGAAATCGCAAGGAAAAAAACGTCGGAAATCGGAATTCCTACCCACCTCTGCTCCGAAAACGTTTCTGATCTGTCTGCATTACCAAAAAAATTTGTTAATAAATTATAATAGTAAATAGAACTACGGGGCTGAAGAAATTATTTTTTTACTAAAGAATATTAAAAAATTTACAAATTTAATTCTAAATTTTAAGTCATTATTCAATTTAATTATTATAGCTACTTGGTTACTTAAAATTTTGAAAAAAATTTTAAGTAAAATTTTAATAAAATTTTAAGTAAAATTTTCGAGCAACATTCTCCATAGTTACAAATTTAATTATTACTTAAAATAATTTAATTTAATATTTCTATTTTACCCTTCAATTAAATTTACATTACATTTTGAGCTAACTAATTGCAATTTATAAAGCCTAATTACCTATATTTTATTTCATAAAATTGTTGAGGAAGTTTTTATAAATTTCAAATCTAACGTTAATAATATTTTTTAGACATCTCCCTAGCTAAAAATTTGGCTCTTGTCCAGTTTATGCGTCCCATGAAAGTATATGCGTCCCATCAACAAAAAATTGGATTTTTCTTGGTGTTGCAAAGTAGGGGTATGGTTCCAAAGCATTTCTTCATGTTCGGGATCTACGTCCACTGGGTCTGGGACCATTCCTTACCCTATCCCTCGAAATTTCTGAAAGTTATAGCCAATTTTTAAAAATTTCAGAAAAACGATTTTAACTTTCAGAAATTTCGAGGTATAGGGTAAGGAATGGTCCCAGACCCAGTGGACGTAGATCCCGAACATGAAGAAATGCTTTGGAACCATACCCCTACTTTGCAACACCAAGAAATATCCAATTTTTTGTTGATGGGACGCATATACTTTCATGGGACGCATAAACTGGACAAGAGCCAAAAATTTTTTTTAGAATTTAAGATTTGTTAATTATGAATTCAAGCAATTCAACAACTTATATAAATTTAACTTTATTATCTATTAATTTTGAACAGAGCCTGTTAAGTCCCGGATTTTCAAATGTCTTGCGGATCAATTTGCTTATACTTTTAATAATTTTGGTTTTAATTGGGGAGCTGATTCGACAATACTTAAAACATCGAATTCTTATCCATGGAAATCTACTGGTTAGTTAAATGTATTTTAAAGGGTTAGGTAGGAGATATAATTACTTCTGGATCTCCTTACATCCTCGTATTTTAGTTTAAAAGGCGTGAAAGTTAAAAATGGATTATCACATATTGAATTCACAATTATAATTTAATCAGAATTAACAGACCCGATAATGGACATGGATTTTGGTATCCGTATCCGGATATTTACGGCAGATACAGACGGATATCCGCAGGCATTTTGAACTTATCTGTATCCGTAACCATTACTAAGCCTGGGAATTACTTGTATAATAAAAAAATTTCTCCAAATAATGATAGAGGCCGAAGAATTTCTCTAAATAAAATTTTACTTTATTATTTTTAGATGCTTTTTGTGAATATTGTCATTATTATTTTTATTAACACAATAACGCAATTCGCCAATTCTCTTCGTTATTGTGTATTTATTTAAATTTTAAAATTATTGTAAATAAAAATAAAATTTAATTTATAGTTGCTAGTATTTATTTACACAAATCCTTGTCAATTATTAACACCTCTTTGGCTTACCTCGATATTGGTTGGAAGTTTATATCTTCAACAAATTTGTTACCCTTCTCTACATTTTTGTGTTATGCTAGAACGTTTAAGAGCAACGTTATTTTTGGATAAATACGAAAATGAGGGTAGAAAATTGACACTTTTTATGATAATATTTAGTGTAAGATTTTTTATAACACAATACAGTACTCTACATAACCCTAAAGCAACTTTTTCAACTTTACGGGGTGGGACAGATTTTACTTCAAATGGTGATTGTATGGAATCCGTGTCTGCGGAACGGCGTCGGGAAAAAACTGCGGGGCGGAGAACTAGGGCTCTGGGGGGGGGGGGGAAGACAGGGGAAAAAAATTTGAATAAATTTTTAAGATAAAAATATTTTGACAAAAAAATTTCTCAAAAAATGCCCAAATTTACACAAATTTTAGTAAAAATATGCAAAATAGGCTGAAAAAGGCATAATAGAGCATTTTACTGAAAAAAGTTAAAATAGTCAATTTTAATCAACGATAAAAATACTTTTAAAGCAGGTTTCAAAAAACTTTAGACGTTTCAGCATTAGGCCTATCTAGAAAAAACAGAAAAAACAGCTTAAAAATCCTAGCTCTATTTAAATTACGAAGGGAACTCTTTCGCCCGTTTTTGAACTCGAACACGAAAAAAATAAAAATCTCAATTTAAAGTGGCTAACTTCAGTCTGTTATACTGCTTTTATAATTTATATGGCTTTCGATGATCCAACAATGGCAATACAAGGGTCAATGATTTTAACAACTAAAAGTACAGTAAACTTGATATATTTTGTGAATATTGTTACAACATTAATTGTCGCTTTTACGGCATTATGTGATTGGAAAATTACCCGATTAAATAGACGTTTAAGTAAAAGAAGGTTAGTTTAATTAAATTTATAAAAAGTGAAGATAGAGATAAATAATTACTCAAATTTATTAATAACTTTAGAACATTTAGTAACGATTAAGTTACAGTAAATTCAACAGGGATATCCTTAGATCACATTAACTACATCATAGTAGTGTAAACTATGGGTACACCCCAAGGTACCGCAAACCCAAGGTACCGCAGAGCTGTAACTCCGTTCAGAATTGTCGAACCTAGGACGTTCTGGTATGGTTCGATTCAGCTGAGGCGCATCAAACCATACCAGGTCGTCACGGATTCGACAATTCAGAACGAAGTGCGGTACCTTGGCCTGCGCCCGTAAAAATATCGTATTTGTAAATTTATTTGGTAAAATTCCGCTTGATTAAATTTTTATACAAAAAGAGATTGGGCAAGTACAATTTTACGCACCCTGTAATTTCAAAAAAATCAGAAATCAATTAATAATTTAATTTTTAAGAAATCATATTTCTGATTATAATTTGAGTTTAAATTTTCAATTAAATGAAAACATAATGGCAATGCGTCTAATACTTCCCTTAGATATTGCTTATGCAACAATTTATCTTTTATGCAATGCACTTATAATTTTACTGCGATTTTATAAAGCTGATATATCTTTGGCAAATTATGTATTTTATTATTCTGCAATAAATACGGTAATAGTAAAATAAGTAAATTTCACTGCATGATATTGAGAAATTTTGATAAAACTGATAAATTCAATTTAAATCTGACAATATTTTTAGAATTACGGAAGCAATAATTTCATTTTAAGTATAAGTTTTGAACCTTTGGTTTTAGATTATGGACGATTTTTGATCCAGAGCTTTCTGGTTCGGTTAATTGTTCAAAAATACATGTAGAAAGAGTTTAGATAAAGTTTAGCCACAGGGCAGGATTCGATCATCTTTTCGAACCTATGACCTCCTAGCACTTATTGCTAGGCGCTTACGCTCACCATGAGCTCTACTGAGCTACCTGGGCATCGACTAATGCTTTTCCTTTTTCTTTTTAGATCGTTTAACCCCCGCCTAAGCGCTTTAAATGCTCTAGGTAAATCATCCTTAAATGTTTTGTGTTCTAACTGGAAATTAAGAATAACGGCGTACGATTATTTTCGAATTTACATATTCGAGTACATATTTAGTTTTAAATTAAAAATTCTAGGCTTTATTATAATTAAAAATATCTTTTGATAAAAAACATTTCTAAATTTTCAGTTACAATTTCTATACACTGCTGGATATTTGATTGTCTGCATACGCTTTATTAAATTTATTATACAAACCCAAAGTAGAACTTTAGAGTTAGCAAAAAAAGAACCAGTCGATCATTCTAAGATTTATTTTAGAGAATTAGAGAAACAATGGGATGGTTAGCAATGATTATTTTGAACAATTTTGGTTATTGGTGTTTAAAATTTTATAAAAATATTTTGTCGTTGGCAAGAAATATCAAAATTTTCGGTTTTAATAATAATTTTATCGTTTTAAAGAATTAAAACTGCCTAAGTTATTGTTGAATTAGTGATTTCCTTACCTATTAAACGTCTACTTCACTGTTTTATGTGTCTATAAATTATGACTTAGGCATAAAATCTGACCTAGGCATAACATGTCAAAAAAATTAAATACCGTGAATGCTCTAATTAAACCTTTGAAAGATGGACGTTCAGGGCTTTAATTAGAGCATTTAGGTAACCTATACATACAAATTATTTAATTATTTTTCTCTTTATTTTATGAAGTAATGTCGTCGGATACGGATATCCGGATTAGAAAAAAATCCGGATATCCTAAATTTTCGGTTCGAATATCGTATACGGATATCCGAAGATTTCTAACTATCCGACAACCTTTTAAATAATTTTTTAATCATCATATGTATGTAACAGGGCTGGGCGTAATGAAAAAATAAAAAGCGAAATGCGAAATTTTTCGCACTAAAAAATGCGAGAATGCGAAAGATGCGAAACGCGAAAGTGCGAAATAAACCCAGCCCTGATATGTAACTAACAAAAAAGCAAATTTTCTTGAAATAAGACAGGAAAATTCTTTTCTAAGTTTTAAAAAGATGTTAATTAGTGTAAAATAATTAAATAATTTAATAAATTAAATGTGGAAAAATATTTTTAGTTTTAATTACAAGAAAAATGATAAATAAATTTATTTTTGTTCAATTATTTTATTGCAATTTAATGTCGATTATTCTTTTCTACATGTAGATTCTTCTTTACAATCTTCTCCTCATTCATCCTCAGGTTTCTCGTTTAGATCAAAAAGATAAATTTTATCATTTAAATTTATTTTATTTTCTGTCATTTTATTTTCATCCTCAGCCACAATTTGATTTTGTTCATCCGCCTGAGTTCCTAATTCGCCTTTATGCTCCTCTTGATGAAAATGATTTTCTTCTTCTATCTGAAAGTTTTCTTCACTAACAACTGGCAATTTACCTTTATTTCCAAATCGTTGTTCGGTAGATTAACAAATGAAGTTCCTTCATCATTGTTAGATTGAACGTTTTTAATGTTTAAACTCTTATTTTTCAGAATTTCTTTTTCATTTTTCTTTCTTTGTTGGTATTTTCTCATACCCTCTTTCCTCTTTTCTTTATTAATATTGTAGTATTTTTGATCATATTTTTTTCTATTTTCTAAAAATTCTGCAGAACTCATCCTTTCTTTTATTTTTTCTTTATTCTTTTGATAATAAATTCGATTTTGTTCTTGCTTTTGCTTTATATTTTTGTGTTTCTGGTAGTAATCTTTCAAATATTCATTCCTCTTTAACCTTTTTTCTTCATCATCAATTTCATTTTTGTTCTTTTTTGTAATTTTAGGTGTTGGGTTTAATGTTGCATTATAATAAATTTGAGGATTAACCGTTGCATGGTCAATCCCTTCATTTAACTCGTTTTGATTTTTATTATTTTTAACAGAATTAATTAAACTCCATAATATCGAAGTGAAAATTAAAAAAAATAAAAGACTAATAAGTCTCATTCCAAATTAATTTTAAAAATTATTAAAAATTTAATTTTTAAGTGTCTTTTTAAAGCAACTAACAACTTTTTTATATTCATCGTTATAAAGGTCAAGAAGGCTGATGAAATGAAGTGATGAAATCACAAGTGATGAAAAAAAGTGATGAAATCAAGAAATCAAAAACAAGCTGATGAAATCCTTCTTACTCTGTCGACTTTTTATTTAAATAACTTTATTTCTTTAATTTTATCTATATTTATTAATTATTATTTAAAAAATTGTGAAATAACACAATAAATTTCTCAGATACTTTATTTTTAAAGATAAAATAAAAAGAAAATAAATTTTCATTGAAATTAAAGTGCATGGGCACTAAATATTTTTATTTCTCAAATAAATAAAATTATGAAAGAAAAAATTTTCTTAAATAAAAAAAGTCGAAAGAAGACGGATTTATTGCGAATGTCATATTGACCTTTATAACATTGTAAAGCTAAATATTCCGTCATGTGAAAAAGTCTAATCGGAAACATATATTTTTTAATTAAATTCTTTTAAATTAATTTCGAATGGAACTTATTAGTATTTTAATCTTTATAATTTTCATTTCGATATTGAGGTGTTTAATTAATTCGTTAAAGAAAAGAAAGAAGAATACGATCGAAATTATCGACAAAAAATAAGAATAGATTGAAAAGAAAGGTTGGAAAATATGTGAAAATCCGATTAGAAAAAGAAAAATTAAAAGAAAAATCCAAAAATGATAGTTCAAATTTAAGAAATGTATAATCTGATAATAAAGAAAGACAATAATATGTAACAATAAAAATAAAAGAAAAAGCCGATTGTTAATGAACAAAAAAGTTAGACGAAGCAATATATGAATGATTATTACCAGTCTAGAAATAATCAACAAAAAACAAAGATAAGTTTATGAAAAGAGTGATTCTGATATTTATGAAGAAATGAGGCAAGAAAATAATAAAAAATGAGGCTAGAATTATAAAAGAAAAATGAGAAAGAAATTTCCAAAATTTATTTTCTTAATTTTAAATTTTAAAATTTTTATCTTTTTATTTTTTAATTTTAATAAAAAAATTCATTTAGCCATTTTAAATTTGTTAATTTTTGGTTTTTCCAATTTCAACGAAGCAGCAATAATTTTTAGTATGCTTAAAAGACATGTGGCAAATCTATATTTAAATTTAATATTTTTTATGTTTTAGTATACCTGAAAAAATTTTTTTGGCTAAATTAATTTATTTATAAAAAAATTATTATAGCTTTTTTATTCTTCTATTAAGCTAACTCTTCTATTAATCCTGATGTATACTGACGCAAATCTATACATCCGCTAATCCACGAATGACTATTTTATTATAAAAAAAGGTTTTTATTGGCAACGTGTATATATTTATTATTTGATCACGTTTTTTATAAATTTTTAAAAATGCCTGATTGAAACCACATGCACCAAGCTTTAAATAAATTTTGCCAATATATATGCTTGACAATATATGTAGAGTAAGAAATAAATAATTATAACCTCCAACTTTCTTAAAATTATTTCTTGCTTAATAAAAATTAGAATTATGGTTAGTTATTTTTTTATAATAAGGAATAATCTCAAACCTCATCGAATACTATAGTTATAGCTTAAAGTGTAAGATATGCACGGAAATTCCAAAATATGCGCATATACATATATGCCAAAAAATATCCAAAATATGCCCTGAAATTAGCAAAATATATACTAAAAATAGCGAAAAGATCTTAAAAATGTTTATTTAAGATTAAAATAATTTAACTCGTCTTTAAATTGGAAATTACGTATTTTTATCAATTTTCTGGAGTATATACAAGATAATGCTATTTTCAGCCCATATCGTTATCTTGTATTATTATCCCCAAGGAATACATTAAATACTTTTTTTCCTTGTGAATTGATACAGAAACTCCATTTTATTAATTACCTAATTATCAGTTAATTAATTCAAATGTTTCAGAATTTTCTTTGGTTTATCACCTTTGTGTTGTCTGTTCTCATATATAACACTTTCCAAATGGATGAATTTGATATATTGGAAGGAAATTTTGATTTTGACTTTGATATTGATAAAGATCTTGAATCTTTCGTTGAATCATTTAACTTACAAGATTTTACTTGGAAGGTAATTTATACATATTTCGACCCTATCTCAAACCATACTGAGCATGTTTAATGATTACATGCTCAGTATGGTCATTTTTCCCCTACAAAGAAGCTGATTTTGTAGAAGCTGATGTTTGCCTTAATGAAATAATTTTTTAACTTTTTATAATTAAAAAAACTTTTTAAAATTTCTCAGTTTAAAAATAACAAATACAAAAATAAACTAGCCTGAGTTGGTATCGTGATTTCGACACGAGTTGGCCTGTGTCGGGATCCCAACGACATTCTTTTCGTATAAGGCCTAAAATTTTTATTTAGGCAAAAATCAACGAAAGATTTGCAAATATGACGGCAGATTCTAGAAAATTAATGTGTGGTGTAAACTCAAAATCACCTAAAACTCCTGCATCTACTCCAAATTTTAAAACAAACAGCAAAATACGATCAAAGCGTTCAAATCCTTCCTGTACTTACAATATCGAATTTGATTCAAGAAAACAATGGCCACAATGTGCAGATATAATTAACATTATTAGAAATCAAGGCCAATGTTCGGGTTGTTGGGCAGTTGCAAGTTCATCAACGTTTACTGATCGGTACTGTATTGAGAGAGCTAAGAAAGGCTTAAAAACGCCAGTCTCTGATCCCGATAATCAATCATCTGATGATGAAATACTTAGTTGTACATCCCCGACTAGCGGGTTAGTTGCATAAATTTTATTTAATTTTCAAAAATTAAATTTAAATGTGTAAATGGAGGTTCTCCACCTGATGCATGGCAATACATGAAAAATTCTGGTGTTGTCTCTGGATCAAATTTCGAACAAAAAACCGGATGTAAGCCCTACTCAATCAATCCAGAAACTCCTGGCCCACTTCCTACACCTAAATGTGTCTCGCAATGTACCAATTCTAAATGGTCAATTCAATATAATAATGATAAAAAATTTGGTTAATAATTATGTTAAGTCACTGTAACTCTAAAATTTTTTAGCCGCATCGACAGGTATTATTCCAGGCGACACGGAAGTTTCAGAGGCTGTCAAGGCAATGAAGGCCGAAATTAAAGCAAACGGTCCAATTACGGGCTGTATGGATGTATATGATGATTTCTATCATTATAGTGACGGAGTTTATAAGGTAATATGAAGCCCAGAATTTTTTAAATTGTTTAAATGCTTAGTCTTAGAAGTAGGGTAGCACGTTTACGAATCTCGGTTCAACAGGTCCTCGGTCTTGGTACCTCGCCAAGGAATTGAAAAATTCAACCCCTAAGAATTGACTTTTTTGGAAGAAATTTTGCTTGGCGGCCTTCCAAAATTTGCCAGTTTTTATCAGTTTATCTTAAAATGAGACTAATCATTTAACTCTAGATAATAATTCTTTTCTAATATGTTGTAATTAATATTTACTATTTAATTCAAATTAAAGAGAACTACTGACAAAAACCCTGGCGGTCATGCAATTCGTATACAGGGTGCGTAAAAAGTTCCCGGAATTTTTAAAATTTCAACTATTGGGTTTAAACATTTATTATTAAAACAAAATTCGTTCACAATCATATTCAGCACTATTTTTGGTTCAGAAAACATTTAGTCTATAAAAAATTTTCAGAGAATAGATGTCAAAAATTCCTCTCAAAACTCCCCAAAAATGTCGTTTTTTGAAGCGCTTGGTCGCAGCTGGTCGGCTAAACGGGTGTTTTTTACTTAAATGAAAATTTCTACCGTCCAACGCTGTCACAATATCAGAAACTGACACCAATAAGTCCGTGAGACTAATTGGTGTGTAAAAAAGACTTTTCCCGCAATCTGTGATGATTCGGGGAGGAATTTGTGCCATATATAATCATCAGAGTAATTGCAATATCCGCTATATGCCAATGTCAAATTATGGCGAATTCAATTTTGTCTTATTATGAAAATTTGCCCTTTTTTATCCGACGTATAAGTAAATATTTATTTGGGTATATAGAGAAATTAAATAATAAAATCAAAAGTACAAAAATAGTACAACTTTCATCATAGTTTTCATTATAGACAAAAAGTTAAAAAATTTTCTATTATTTCAGTTCTACACGTAATAGGCTTTTAAACAAACATTGAAAAATATAAACATGAATCTAGTAATTAAAATTAGAATAGAATTTAAAATAGATTAGTTTTTAAAATATAATCGTTAATTAATCTTTACATATTTAATATCTTCTGCTGTTTCCAAATTCCATTTAATCCAATAATCATCTTCTTCCTCTTCATTCATCGGTTGAAAATTAAGAGGGTTATTAAGGCTCTATCCGACATAATAATTAATAAAAGACAAGTTGAGAAATCTCAAAGGACAACCCGAGACTAGTACACAATTCTTTTTAAATCCTTAGAAATATGGGAATATGAAAATATTATTTAATAATAAAGTACATATTTGTTAAATATTTTTTTAATTAAATAATTAGAGTAAACAGGCAAAATAAATTCTTAAAAAACAATTACATCATTCTTATTAAATTAATACAAATAAGATTCTTTTTAAGCTCAAAATTTAAAATTAAATTTATCTTTCTCCTTCATAATTTTTAAAATTAACTTTTGGAATGAAACTTATTAGTATTTTAATTTTTGTAGTTTTCAATTCACTATTATGGAGTCTAATTAATTCTGTTAATGATAATAAAAATCAAAACGAGTTAAATGAAGGGATTGACCATGCAACGGTTAATCCTCAAATTCAAAATGATGCAACATTAAAACCAACACCTAAACTTTCAAAAAAGAACAAATTGAAATTGATGATGAAGAAAAAAGGTTAAAGAGGAATAAATATAGCTGGGAATACTACCAGAAACATAAAAATAAAAAGCAAGAACAAAATCGAAATTATCAACGGAATTCTGCAAAATATAAAGAATATAAAAGAGAATATGATCAAAAATACTACAATATTAATAAAGAAAAGAGGAAAGAGGTTATGAGAAAATACCGACAAAGAAAGAAAAATGAAAAAGAAATTCTGAAGAATAAGAGTTTAAACTTGAAAAACGTCCAATCTGATATTGATGAAGGAATTTCATTTGTTAATCCTCCGAACGATGATTTTGGAAACAAAGGTAAATTACCAGTTGTTTGTGAAGCGAACATTCAGACTGAAGAAGAAAATCTTTTCCACCAAGTGGAGCAAGAAGGCGAATTAGGAACTCAGGCGGATGAACAAAATCAAATTGTGGCTGAAGGTCCAAATATTAAAATGTCAGAGAATAAAATAAATTTAAATGATAAAATTTATCTTTTTGATCTGAACGAGAAACCTGAGGATGAATAAGGAGAAGATTGTTAAGAAGACCCCCATGTATGAGAGAATAAATAACATTAAATTGCAATAAAATGCCTAATTAAACAAATAAATTTATTAAACATAAAAAACATTTATTTTGCTTCAAATGAAAACTAAAATTATTTTTTTACATTTTGTTTAATAAATTATTAAATTACTACACATTTATTAACTGTTCACTAAAACTTATAAGCTTATAGATTTGAATTTAGATAAGAGATCTCGTCAGGGGGTTAAAGAATTTATTTGCCTTTAAGAATTTATTTGAAGAATTTATTTGCCTGTTTACTCTAAGTATTTAATTAAAATAAAAAATATTTAACGAATATTCCCTTAATTCTTAAATAATATTTTCATATTCCCATATTCTAAGGATTTAAAAAGAATTATGTAATAGTTATAGACAGTGTCGTTTGAAACAGCTCTGGTTGCCCTTTGAGATTTCTCAACTTGTCTTTTATTAATTATTATGTCGGCTAGAGCCTTAATGACATTGTCAAGTATTATTGACATTCTATATTTGCTGACATTCTATACGATATTCTGTATATACAAGGTGACCGGAAAGTAACATGACACGGTATTTATGCATAACTTTATTGAAATTAAAGATAAAAAGATCATATAAAGACTAAATGATAGAGAATTAAATAAGGGACAAATTTAAACAAAAAATTTTTTGCTCTCCCTTTGCTTGGTCAATACAAGTTCAAATAGGCGAAACTAACTCCCCGTAAACAAAAGATTTTAAAAAATCCCGATAGCCCTCCTAAAATTCTTTAATCCCTCCTAAAATTCTTTAATTCTTTAATCCGCGAAAATCCAATAATATAGCAATTTTCTTTCATTTTCAGCTCTGTAGGTACAGATTTTGAGAATTATGTACGATCATTAAACATAATATGTCCTCAGATTAGGCCTATGATCCCCTTGATCCACATTCTGATTATCTCAATGTTGGGTTAGTGATACTTCTCGTTCATAATTTGTTTTCTGCCAATTCTGACTGATGATTATGTTTTACTTTATACTATTTATCATCGTTCCATTTTTTTAATCGCCACCATGTGTTGCATTACATTTATTGTTGCAATTTGTTTGGCCGGAATAAATATTATTATTATTAGCCGAAATTTTTAGTTTTTAACTCTGATAAAGATTTAAATTAAATTTAAATTAATTTTTAAATCTTGTAAAGATCGCCAAGCCGAAATCATGCAGCAACTCTGTATCTTCAATAACATTTAAATTTTAAAGTTTCATAATTAATTTTTAATTTATTTAATTAAAAAATAAATTTTAATATTTAATTTTTATCCCTTAATCAATAATCAAAGTCTCTTGCCCTTTAAAATACGTGTAAATGAGTAGCTAAGGACAAATTTATGAGAGGGGAGAGAAGCAAAAGGTAAGGGACTTTGAATGCGAGGGATTTTAAGAAGCTCTCGTATTATATATTATTGACTATCAAAGCCATTTAAAAATTTAAAAAAAATTTTCTCCTTAAAAAAATTATTTTAATTAAAAAAAGTCTAAAAATTTAAGTAATTTAAATAAAAGTGAGGGCTAAAAACTAACCGCCAGCCCTCCCCTCTTCTAAAAAAGCGCTGCAATGTCTTATACTCACATAAACATTATCCTAAAGATTATTAAAACAGCATTAACATAAGAAGAATAATATTTTTTATATAATTGGGATTCCATTAACTAACAAATTTTTTCTATAATTGCGGGAAACCAAAAGATTCTGTTCGCGACGAGATGTTATTCAAAAACGCATTCGTATTAAATTTTACGATTTTAGTGTTAGTGGTTATTTGGAACGCTCCATTTTTTAAATTTGTCAAAAGTTTTTTGTAAAATAATATAATATTAAAGATTATAAAAAGTAAACAACCGTAAATCGACATCCAAAAATTTGAGACTGTCGACGTATGGACTCAGTCATTTTTTGCGATTATTAATAGAATTTTTTGAAATTCTCAATAAAAAAATTAAAATTTCTTTAAAATTTTCTTTATTTATTTTCAGATGAAAATCTTAATTTATTTTATTTTGTGTTCAATTAATGTTGTAGCATATTATGAAATAAAACCATCCCCATTTAAAATTTTATTTTTTATGGACGCACCAAACAGAGCAAAGTTTGGATGGCGTTCTGAAATAAAAAGTTTCGAAAATGGAATGAGGTTTTTAACATTATTGGAAAGATTTTTAACTTTTAAAATATATATGATCCCGCGAGACGCTCTCACAAAACTGGATTCGGTAAAAGTCCAGTTGCCTACCACCCTGTCCGTAAATATCTAATATCCGTATTTTTTATTATTTTCTTTAAATTTTTGGCGTTAGGAGAGGCACACCTAATTAACGAAACAAATCTATGGGCAAGTTTGTCGGTTCTAGGAGATTCTTCGGTTAGCTGAAACCGAGTTAAACAAGCGAATTTAAAAGTAATTAATAATATCACTTTTTCGTGGGAGAACTAACGACTATGTTCCTAACCTAAGGGTTTAGGAGGATTCTCTTTTTGATCTTAGCCGGATTTCCTGAGTGTTTGGTGTATATTTGATAGGCAAATACGAGTAAAATAGGCAAATATGAGTACAAGTAAATTCTAAATTTCCAAACATTATTAGCAAAACTTTCGCTTATACTGTAAGCAAAACTTTCGCTTATACGAATCTAATAAATCTTATTTTATAGCCAATTAACTCATCCTCCTAACATTTTTACTGACAATTATTTAAACAATGCATATGTTAATCTTTGTGTTAGTTGTTTTTTTATTAAAAAAATTTAAAAATCGTTTTTTTTGTTTGAAGGATAATTTCGATAATATTGGCCTTAGAACTGATTTTCTTCAAGATTTAAATGGAAGTTTTATATTTCAAAAAGCTGCAGAATTATATTACGAAAATAAGAAAAAAAGGAATTTTGTTGAAAAAGTTAAACAACTCTTATTTTCTGAAGAAGAACCGCGTTAGTTTATTAAACATTACATTATATACAGGGAGGGACTCAAAAAATTAACCGGGCACCTTTCATTTCGGCATTACATTTTTACAATTTTTATATATTTTTATACTCATTCTGTAGCCCAAACAATTCACTTTCAGGGCTTATAAGCCCATTTCATTTATTGAACCATTTTCCGAAAGATTTAGAGTTCACAAAATTTCAACTCCTCACAGATTCTAAAAAGCACGATCCAAGAAACTAAGAAATTCCGGTATGAAATTTTCTGTGAATTATCTTTCATTAAATTGTTCAAGTATTTATGACTGTTGACTTAAAAAAGTGGTAAACCTTGACTAGTAAACACACCCAAGAACGTGAACACGGTCAAATTCAGAGTATACCCCCAATTCATTGGGTTCTATGAGTAAAAGCGGAATGGAATCTTGTTTGGACAGAGAATCTATTCGTGATACGGACAAAAATAAACAAAGACTCAAGCCCTACAAGCACAAAAAATTAAAACTTTTAAAAAAGATGAAATGAGTTAGGACTCCTAGAAGCAAACACCTTCTGAAGCTGATTGCAAGTCAAGAGACACTTTTTTCAAACGGAAAAGAGTTATAAAATTAATGACAGAGAATGACAGAGAATTCTTGTTTAAAGTACTAAAATTTTTTCTTTATCTACACCTGAAACTAAATTTCGTACAAAGTTCAATTTAAAATTTAGCTATGAACCCAACTAAACAACTGAAAAAATTTTAATTATTAATTTTAAAATAATTTAAGAATTCTACTCCCTATTTTGCCAATTCACACAAGGGAAAGGAATCTATCACTCTTTTATACGTGAACAATCTCAGATGGAAATTCATTCTTTGGAGTTTAAAAACAACACTGTATACTTTAAAAATAAATTTTGAGAAGCTTGTGTATAAGTGTGGGGGAGTGATAGTAAATGATAGTCGAAAAAAGAAACACTTATAGCGCTTTTTCTGGGTATTGAGATTAGGGTTGCTTTTTCGAGCTGACGTTTGGTGGATTTTTTCTAGTTTGGCTTTTTTCGAGTTCTCTATATATCTTGCCCTATATAAATTATTTCAACAGAAATTTATATAGGGCAATGAGCCTTAAACTTAAAAGAATAATTAAACTTAGCCTTAAAGAGCTAAGATAGAACTAATGGACTACTCTGGGGAGTAGAGAACTCTTTTCACAAAATGATTTTATGAAAATACATAATCCTATTACAAATAGAAAAAATGATAAAGTCCGTTCCAAAAAACCTCGATACCAGGGCTGGGCTCATTTCGCAATTTCGCGTTTCGCATCTTTCGCATTCTCGCATTTTTTGGCGCGAAAAGTTTCGCGTTTCGCATTTCGCTTTTTGGTCCGAATGCGAAATTTGTTTCGCCTTTTTCATTTAGTATTTTTTTATTCTTTAGATATTTTGACATAGAAATTTTTAAAGGAAAAGGAAAAGAAATACATAGTATTTATAATCTGACAATTTGCTTTCGTTGGTTGATGGTGCAGTGGTTAAGTTGACTGACTTCGTTCACATTGGTGTTTTTGGGGGATGGGTTCGAATCCAGACATAGGAAATAAGACTTAAACAATTTTTTCTTCCAAAAATAAATGTTTTTAAAAATTAATTTTAAATTGTAAATTTGTTTTATAAAATATTAATCATATTTAGCACGACTCGAACAAGACTCGTAATATTTTTACCAAATTTATTGACAAAAATGGAGAAATCTGGCTTCTCGGCATTCCAAAATTTCTAAAATTTTCGCCTGTGGCGCTGAAAAAGGAAGAGATATGAGGGGTTGTTCTTTCAAAATTGCCAAATTTTTCGCCTTCGGCGCTGAAAAAGGAAGAGATCTGACTTAAGGACCTCCAAAATTCTCGAAATTCTCGCCTGCGGCACAGGAAAGGGATTTGAATTAATATGGATATCAGTATATTAAAATGTGAAAAGATCGATGGAAAATTTATAAAGTTCATAGTAAAAGATGAAAAATGGGGCCGGCCGGATTTTTTTGGATTAATCCGATTGGGACCCGGACTCAGGCAAAGCCGGCCTGGAGCCCGGTCCGGTGCCGGGCGCTAATAATAAGCAATCTTAAGAAGAGTCTTCTTCAAAAAATGCACTAATGCTTTTATTTTTCATCACAATCTCGTAATTTATAATTTTGAATATGAATAAAATATTTTTAAAATTTTTAATTAATTTCGCTTTCGCATCTTTCGCATTCTCGCATTTTTTAGCGCGAAAAGTTTCGCATTTCGCATTTCGCTTTTTAATTTTTTTAAAAAAGTTTCGCATTCCGCATTTCGCTTTTTATTTTTTGATTGCGCCCAGCCCTGCTCGATACCCCCAAATTTTTCGGTTAATCGACTTACGGTATTACTGAAACGACCATAAACTATTGGATTATATGTATCTCAAAAAATAAGTCAAATTTCAACTTAATTTTTAAAATTAAAGCCAAGAATAAAAGACATGCAAGTTGAATTTATAGAAAATGAAAAGTTGAAAAAAAGAAGGATTATAATAGGAACTAGTTTGGAATTTGAAATTGCCGTCTTCTCATTTTGTGCATTATCATATAAGGAAATGGAGAAATGGAAGGTTGTATTGCTTTAAATTCAATAATCAAAATCTATAGGAAGGAGTTTAATTAAGTAAGAACCTATTAAAGTGAGAACTTGAGTTAAACATTTAAGAACGTGTTTAAATATATGATTCTGTCGAATTTTATAATAAGTTTCAATAAGGATTAAAAATACAATAGTATTAAAATAACAATCGTGACTTTTTACTTAATATGCAAAAATTAAATAAATAAATCACATAAAGTTTTTAGAAGTTCATAAGTTAGTATAATGTTTTAATTATATTCATACATGATCTTGCTATAGTTTTGAATTTTCACGTTTGGGAGTTTGTGTAAAACTCCATAAGATTATTATCCAAAATTTAAAACTTTAATGTCAATATTTAACACTAAACATAAATACATTAGTTTTATAAACAAATCCCTGTTGAATTAGATGCTTATTTTTTTAAGTACTGAAATGGAGTTCACTTTGGTGTATTGTTGAAAAATAGATCATTTAGGCTCAATTAAACAATGTTTAACCTTAATTGATATTCTTTGTTTAAATTAATGTTCAATAATAATAATGCAAGATTATCTATTTAGCATTGTTCATCTCCAATTGATGGCGGATATCTTTTTGATATGGGAATTAAAATGTCAAATAAATCAGGACATTTAAATGTAATAAAACTAATTTTTTTATATTTTTAATAATAACAGATAATTTGGTATACCAAAATTATGAAAAGGGGAGAACGAAAGCCAAAATCTGATCCATCTTTTCAAAAATTAGTTGATCAACTGTGGGAAAATGATGTTGATAGAATTGACGAATCTGGTAGTTAAAAAATATTTTTTCGTAAATTTTAATTTATTAAGCTATTCGCCTTAATTGGCAAGGAAAGATTGAGAGAAACCAAATTGAGGACATTTCATTTTATCCGTAAGTTTATTTAAGTAAAAAGACAACCTTACCCCAAGATTGACAACCCTACCCCAAGACCTAAAACCCAAGATTTTTGAGCCAAGATTCAATACCAATTAGCCGAAAAAAGGCATGAATACTGAAAAAAGGCAAAAATGCTGTTTTCCAACATTTTTGCATGGCACACGCCCTTAAGGGCCTCGACACAACTGCCTACTAAAACTATAGCTTTATACTAAAAACACATACTTAATAGCGTTTTACAAATATTAATAAAACACCTAATTAAGTTTATTCGCTTATGTTGATGAATCTACTATATTCCAAAAGCCTATATACGCTGCTTTTCTAAAGATGTACAAAGAAAATAATTTTTATGAACAAGTGTGTGAACAAGAGCCTAATATGAACAAACGAAGGAGAAGCAAATTTGCCAAAATTTGGAAATTAATTACTGAAAGTGAAGTATTTAAATTGGGTTATGAATTTCTTCGAAAAAATAGTCAGCTATAAAATTTGTATAAAATTATTTTGATACATTTTTAGAAAAAACTAAAAAAAGCTTTGATGAGTTCCGTAAACGAATGTTTGATTTTTGGTTTGGTACATATTCCCGTTGTGACCAAGATGTGGATTCTGAACCTTTGGGAAGTTCAGGTGGAAAAGATAAATTTTCATTTGGGATTTTTTAATTAATTCAATTTTATAAATTAGGGTTGATAACATTAAATAACAAAATTGATTTAAGAGAGTCGACTTTAATTTAAAATTAAAAAAAAATTTTTTAAATTTTTAACTAGGGTTGTCCAAAACATGCAAATTCATGTTTTTATGCGGATATGCCTTGTGGGAAGCCAAAAAACGGATGTTTTTACATTGGTCCTAGCACTTTATGACGCGGTTCTTAATGTCTAATTTTGCATATTTCGGCCCGCTTGTGCATATTTGTGCATATTTTGGCTGATTTTGCATATTTTATTTCATATTTTGTTATTTTTTTAAAATTTTACCGAAAATTGATAAAAATTTTCAAAATTATCGAATTTTTTGTCAAAAAATTTTCTTTAAAAAAATTTTTTGAAAATTTTTTTAGAAAAACTTTTTGGGAATTTTTTTCAAAAAATTTTTTGCAAAAATTTTAAATCCAAAAATCTTCAAAAGTGCTCTTTAATGCAAAACGCATATTTTGGGCTTTTTCGCTGCATATATTGCGCATATTTGGTATTTCCGTGCATATCTTGAACAACCCTACTTATAACGTATCAATTTTACTCTCTTTATAAGGTAGAACACTTAATTTTTATAGGTTTTGAACATGTGTTCAGCGGTGAGTGGAAGGATGGAATGGGTGTTTACGGACATCATAATTGGTTGCGTTATTATTTGCAGGAAAAAGCGGGAGAAATTAATTACTATGGATATTTTGAGCATCAAAATAATAATATTATCGGCGCATTCCAGTATGAATGGAAGGGATATTTAAAGCGTATAGGCGGATTCTTCTTTCGAACTTCGCCTGGTAAATTTCTTGAAATTTTTAAAATTCTGGAAAAAATGTTTATAATTTAATATTAAATTACTAAATATTTTTATATTAAATTAATTTTTAAATTTTTGATAATTAAAATAATATTTAAAAATTCTTTTAAATCTAAAATTAGAAAATTTTTTTAAAATATTTTTGTAAAATTTCTTCTAATAATTAAAAGTATTTTCTAATTTCAATTAAATATTTTACAGCCTTCGACTTTACTCTATTTACTGTATGCTCTATTCTACATCCTGGCTATGAAGCCTGCCAGTTTGAGTTGTTAAATACCAAAATGGTTGTTACAAGTTTCACAAAAAATTGTGACAAGGAAACGTGTTTGCGAACAGCTTACCCTGCATTATTGTTTTTCAATTTATTTTGATGCGTTATTTTTAATTTTTTAAACTGTAGTTTTTAAATTTTTCTATTCCCTTAAAAATCTTTTTAATATTTTCTATCAATTACCGTATTTTCTCTAAAATACCCCCTCTCTAAAATAGCCCACCTTTTAGAGGGCGATCAAAAAATAAGCCTCCCTCTAAAATAACCCCCCCCCCCCCTCTAAAATAGCCCACTTTTTAGAGGGCGATCAAAAAATAAGCCTCCCTCTAAAATAACCCCCCCCCCTCTAAAATAGCCCACCTTTTAGAGGGCGATCAAAAAATAAGCCTCCCTCTAAAATAACCCCCCCCCCCACTTCTAAAATAGCAACCCCACTTCCCACTTCTAAAAAACCCCGGGGCTATTTTAGTGAAAATACGGTATGTTATTTTTGAAACATATGGTTTACGCCACGCACTTTTTTCTTTTCTATTAAGGTTGCCGGATCCGGATCAGAAAAAGGTCGGATATCATTAAATTTCGGTTGGATATCGGATCTTCTTTCGACCTTCGATTCCGGAGATTTTTTTTAATAATTTTCAATTACGTGTTTTCGGAATTTTCTTGATTAATGATTATTGAAAAATAACTTTATTTAGCATCCCAACTCTGATTGAGATATTTAAAATAGAATAATAACTCTGGAATAATACCTCTCACTATATTTTTTATACCCACCAGCATTAAGTTTCAAAGATAAATACTCAGAGTAATTAATCGAGAAAAGTTGTATAATTCTTATTGAAACTTTCATTATACCATTTAAACAAAGTGCCCAATGTTTTTAATATTATAACGAAAAGTTATTAGATTAATTTATCAGATTATTTTTCCAATTTAATTTTAACTCTAATTTTGACTACAAAATTTACAAAACTAAAAACATTGGTCTATATATTTACTACCACATTTCATTGGAAATTTTGCTCCGTTTTTCACCTTTTCTCCTTATTTTTGAATGATACAATCTGAGGTTTCCCTTGTTTTCCATGTCCGTCTATATTTGTCTCCCGTTTTATAAAACCTGTTTGTACCATTGCTGGTTTGTATATAAATTGCTAAACCAGATTAACCACTAAAAAACACCACACCACGTCTTATTAAATTAAGAAAGTCAGAATTTCTGTTTTTTTATATAAATTTTATATATTTTTAGAATTTATTTTATTTATTTAAAATTTTATATAACGTATAACTTGTTTGATATTCAAGCTATGTTCACCTTCCTGGCTACCATATTTATTTTTTATTTATAGAGATTAATCATTATGGTAGTTTGGAAGGTTTACAAGAAGATTTATTTTTATTATTTTTTAAATATTCTTTAAACATTATTTATAAATCGGGCTAGGATTTTTAGGCAATAAAAAGTTGAAAATAGACGCCTATACAAAATAAGCGCCATGTCTCAATATATGCCCAAATATGCATAAATTTTAGCAATGTGCAAAATAGTCTGAAAAATTGCAAAATAGGGCATCATGCCAGAAAAGTTAAAATAGGCAATTATCGGCAACGATAAAAAGTAGTTTGAAAGGAAATTTTTTAAAAATAACACAAGCTCTATTTATAAATACATATAACTCTTATTTCCTAAATTTATTCCATTCTTTGGAATTTATTTTTAAATGCGTTTATTTCTGGGATAAATATTTTTCATATTTTTTTAAATTAATTTAGATTTTCTTTATTTTTAAAAATTGTTAAGGCACTCTTGGGAGAATAGAAAATAATATTTTAATCTTTATTTAAACAAATTAGAAAAAGAAAATGATTTAATTAAAATAATGGTAAAGAAAGAAAGCTAAAATTTTATGTTATTAAATTTGGTGTCAAAGTTTACTCTTGTATTTGGTTCAAAAAAGTAATTAAATTTGCTAATCTGAAAATTTCATATCAAAATAAGAAATTCTGATTATCCAAAAAATTTAGATCATTCAAAAATTTAATATATTCTAAATCATTCATTTCGCCCGTTTGTTGAATTGGATGTCCATCATCTAATTGTTGGACATTTTCTTGTTCTGGGTTGTGTAAATTATTTAATACACCCTCATCCATATGTTGATTAACGTATGAATTTCCTTCGGTATTATCATTTCCTTCCTTATTATTTATCTCAACATTCTCGTTAAATTCCATGGGCGATTTACCTTTATTAATATACCGTATTTCCTCTAAAATAAGACCCGGGGCTTATTTTTTCGATCAACCTCTAGAGGGTGCTTATTTTGGAGGGGGGCTTATTTTTCGATGTCCAAATTTTTCAAAAACTAAAATTTATTACCAAACATTTAGAAGAAATTTTTCTAAGATCAATAAATTTCATCCAATACTAAGTCTCTTTACGAAAAATCCTTGTCCAAAAACTCATTAAGTACTCAGTCAATTGATCTTTAATCTTAGATATGCCTTTAAGTTGGATATAAGTCAAAAATGTCTTAGATTACATTATTATCCTCCTTTGTATATATCCCATTGAGTTTCTCTATTATGATTAAAAATGATTAAGAAGAAGGATTAACTCTTTAATTAATTATTTTCAATAATTAAAAAGGATTAACTCCCAATAATATTTTCAAAGCATTAAGATGTGATTGGTTTAGAGGTCATGATTCTTTCGAGATCCATGATTTCCACTCAATCCTACGATATTCCTACAAACGTTCGAATATATCCGATATCCCTCTTAATCCCCACGATATCCCTCCTAATCTCCCTTATATTCACAATCCCTATATACCCTTCTCATTAAACCTACAAATCCTCCAGTATCACTCTTAATCACCTCAAATCTCTCGATATCTACGTTGATCACTTTATATACCTGTATAATTTTCCAAATACCCTCTTAATCACTTCTAATCCTTCTATATCCCTTCATGTGGACTCAACTGAGGGGACACAACAAAAAATCAACAATTAAAATTTTTATAGAGTAGGGGGCTTATTTTAGAGGGGGCCTATTTTAGAAGTGGGGCTTATTTTTTCGAACGACCTCTATAGGGGGCTTATTTTAGAGGGGGCCTATTTTAGAGGAAATACGGTAATTATCATTCTGTGAATTTCCTTTTCCATTTTTTCTTTTTAAATAATATTTTCTATCATATTCTCTTCTGCTTTCTTTATTCTTTTGAATATAATTTTTATTATATTCTCTTTTCCTTTCTCTCTTATTCAATCTAGATTCACGAAGCTTTTCCTTATTCTTTTGATAGTAATTCTTATTATATTCTTTTATCGCTAACTTTTTTTCGGCCTTATTATTTTCCGTAGTATTCTCTCTAATAAAATTATCGTTTTGTGAACTAAGAAGAGAAGTTCCTTCATTAGTATTCTGCATGTTTCCCAAATCTGACCTATTATTTTGTAGGATTTCTCGTTCATTTTTCTTCTTTAGACGGTATTTTCTTTTATATTCGCGAGTCTTATCTTTATTATCTTGCCTGTACTTTCGTTTATATTGAGACATTCTATCTCTATTCTTCTGATAGTAATCTTTCTTATATTGTAGCCTCTTTTCTTTATTATTTTGGTAGTAATTTCTACAATGTTTTTGTATCTCCTCTTTGTGTTGTTGGTAGTAATTCTTCATATATTC